TCCTTTCCTCATTCCAGGCCCTTTCCCATCTTCTCTCACTTCATTCCAGCCCCTTTCCCATCTCTCCTCTCCTCATTCCCATCTTCTCTCCTCATTCCAGGTCCTTCCCATCTCCTTTCCTCATCCCAGGCCCTTTCCCATCTCTCCTTGCCTCATTCCAGGCCCTTTCCATCTTCTTTCCTCATCCCAGGCCTTCTTCCATCTCCTTGCCTCATCCCAGGCCCTCTCCCATCTTCTCGCCTCATCCCAGGCCCTTTCCCATCTCCTCTCCTCATTCCAGGCCTTTTCCCACCTCTCCTCGCCTCATCCCAGGCCCTTTCCCATCTCCTCTCCTCATTCCAGGCCCTTTCCCATCTCTCCTCTCCTCATTCCCATCTCTCCTCTCCTCATCCCAGGCCCTTTCCATCTCCTTTCCTCATCCCAGGCCCTCTCCCATCTTCTCTCTTCATTCCAGGTCCTTTCCCATCTCTCCTTGCCTCATTCCAGGCCCTTTCCATCTCCTTGCCTCATTCCAGGCCCTTTCCCATCTCCTTGCCTCATTCCCAACCCTCTCCCTTGTCCTCAGGAATACCAAGAGGGACCCCACAGATGCTCCCACCCCATCTCCACCCAACCCCACCCAACCCCAGGCCAAGTTTTGGGGGGAATCCCCTCCTAACCCCGTTCTGCTCTGAACCCCAGTGTCGGGATACGGCTCCATGAACCCCTGATCCCTTTTTTCCTCCTCTCCAGGTTCACTCTCCGGCCACTGCGGCTTCAGATTCGTTTTGGCGCTCACCCTGACAGTGATCCTGGAGCTCACGTGAAGCTTCGTCTCCTCTTCCTCCTCCTCCTGCTCCACCTCCGCCCGGCTCCTCCCGGCACTCCTGCCTCCAGCCATCGGGTCTCCCGCTCTTTTTTTTCTATACTCTCGACACTCTCGGTCCCTTTCCGTGTCTTGGCTTCCTCAGACGGTTGAATTAAAGGGAAAAAGAGAAAAACCTCTTCTGGGAGAAGGTCGTAATTCATGTTTTAACTGTGGTGGGATTCCCAGATCCATCTCGGGGTACCCAGCTCCATCTCAGGGTTCCCAGATCCATCTCAGGGTTCCCAGCTCCGTCTCAGGGTTCCCAGCTCCATGTCGAGGTTCCCAGATCCATATTGGGGTTCCCAGCTCCATCTCAGGGTTCTCAGCTCCATCTTGGGGTTCTCAGCTCCATCTCGGGCTTCCCAGCCCCATCTTGGGGTTCTCTGTTCCATCTCAAGGTTCCCAGCTCCATCTCAGGGTTCCCAGATCCATGTCGAGGTTCCCAGATCCATGTCGGGGCTCCCAGCTCCATCTCGGGGTTCCCAGATCCATCTCAGGGTTATCTGTTCCATCTCGGGGTTCCCAGATCCATGTTGAAGTTCCCAGCTCTGTCTCAGGGTTCCCAGCTCTGTCTCAGGATTCCCAGCTCCATTTCGGGGTTCCCAGCACCATCCTGGGGTTCCTGGCTCCGTCTTGGGGGCTTTGCAAAGTCTTGGAAGGGGGAGCAGGAGGATTTGAGGATTCAAGGACCAAATTTTCCCTGGAAAAAACCCAAGTGCAGCATTCCCATGGCCCCGTGATGCTCCAGACCTCGTCTCCCCAGGGTGAGGACCCACACGTGTCCCCAGCCCTCCCGAGGCCGCGGAGGCGCCGCCGGGAGCCGGAAAGTTGTGGATCACTGGGTTGATCCGGTGGGATTCCCGGGCTGGCTGAGGAATGCCAAGTGACAGGCGGCTCCCGACCCCAAATGTCAGCGCTCACACTTGAGCGGGCAGCGTGTCCCATCCCTCGTGGCCAGCTGTCCCCATGGAAACGGGACGGATCTGACCATTCCCGGGGTGCCCCGTCCTGGGATGGCATCGATCCCACCGCACGACACCTCCTGGCAAAATCCAGGTGGCTTTGCCTCGATCGCGGAGTTTTCCAGAATTTTCCTCGTTGTGGAGCACCCGTGGGATGTCCCATGGGGAAAGGATCCCAAGGATGGGGTTCTCCCAAGCCTTTTCCTCTGGGAACTCAAAATCCTGGAGGATTATTCGGCAGCCGCGCGGCGCCTCATCTTCCCAAAGCCCCGCACGAGCGCTAATAATTATCACCGTGATGATTAATTATTATTAAGCAGATTCCAGCCCTTCCCCGCTCTGTTGCCAGCCTCGGAGGAGCTAAACGAAGCCGCGGCAGTTCCAGAGCTCCTTCCCATACAAAATCCCAGAGTTTTACCCTTTGGAGTGGGAGCAGTTGGATCGGGGCTGGCTGGGATGTGCGGGAGGATCAGCAGCTCCGATTCCATCCCAAAGGAATGACGCCCAACATCCCAATCCCATCACGTCTGCACTTCCACTCCACGGATGAGAAGAAAATCTTTGTTTTTTTCAGAAGAAGCGCAGTTTTTTCAGGAATTCTCCCTGCCTCAGTTTCCCCCCACGCTCTGCAGGACCCCTCCCATGGATCTTTCTGGCCCTTCCTCACGGATCGGAGCCGCTCCAGCGGCCTCATCCCGCCCTAATTAAACAACGGCCGGGATGAAACAGCCATTCCGCCTCCCCGCTTGGAAAAACGAGCATTTCCAGCCGCCCGAAGCTCCATTTAAATGCAAATGCGGCGGGTTTAGCCCAGACCCGTGGAAATGAGGAGCATTCCCGTGGAAACGAGGAGCAATTCCAGCGGTGGGGCCACCACCAGGAGCACCGGGATGTCCCCAGGAACGCCGGGCTCGGTGTGGCTGCATCCCAAACCCACCCCAGTTCGGGATGCTCCGGGAAAAATCCCTGGGAAAAGGGGTGGATCTCCTGGCGTGGATGGATCGACCAGAGGTTGGGACCTTCCGAGTGCCAGCACAGACAGATGAGCGAGGGGATTTGGGAGTTTTTCCCCATTTTGGGGCAGAGCTGCTGCCTGTTTTTCTGAATTCCTGCCAAAACGAGGGTCACAAAGGGATTCCATCCCACAGCCCCACCAAAGGGAGCCACGCGCGCTGTGCTGGACCCACCTTCACCTCCCGTCCCCTCCCCATCCTCTCCCTCCAAGTGATTGCAGAGGACCCCAATTTATCCCCCTTTTTCCCCCTCCCTATTCCCGATCCCGTTGTTTGAGGCGCCGGCAGTGAATAATGCAGAAGGCGGCTGGAGGGGAAAACAGCGGCTCAGGTTGTTCCATTATTGATGAGAGCTGACAGATCCGCTCCTGACAACCTTCCGAGGAGATCTGATTAGCTCGGAATAAAAAAAAACCCAAAAAAAACCCCACCACCGAAACCGCAGCGCCTTGGCGAGGGGCTGACGGCAGCTGAAAACCCCAGAGGAGCGGCGTTATCGACCTTCCCGAATTCCAGGGGGACTTTGAAAAAGGTTCCAGCAGATTTGGAAGAGGTAATTACGCTCAATTAGAGTCACAAGCGCCGAGACGTCAGCGCTGCTTCTCCCGCTCCCCTCACACCGCAGATAAACGGGATAAACGGGGAATTTATCCAGCGGAATCCGTGGATTTTTTGGGATAGCAGGAACCGGGCGTGCTCCAGCCCTGCAGGAAAGTCAGCTCTTTGCCGGCTGGGTTCACGGGGCTGCCGAGCACATGAATAATTCATCCTCTTCCTCTTCCTCCCCGGCTCCCAAGCGCAGGGATCTTTGCCGGTCCGAGCCCCGGAACGCGTGCCCGGACTCCACACGCATCCCTCCTTCCTCAGCTCCGGCAGCTCCCGGCTTTCCAGGCAGGAGAAATTCCCCTTTTCGCAAGGTTTTGGCCAATCCATGGATGGATTTTGGGGCTCTGACCCCAGCTGGATGGAGGAGAGAGGCTGGGTGGGCTTGGCTGGTGCTGGTGTGGATGCACGACACCGCCCGTGCTCCAAAACCCAGATTTTAAGTGAAATATATTAATTCCCCCAAGTTTTTCTATGCTGTGTTTCCCCACAGGAGCGGACAGCATCCCAAATATTCCCCTAAATATCCTAAATTAATCCTAAATAAAATATCCTCCATTGGTGGATCCATGATCCAGGGATCCCTGAGTGCCAAACCAGCCCGGGGAGGTCATTCCTGTGCTGCCTTTCCATCGTTTTTTTGGTGTTTAGGACGGGATTGTCCGGCTGAGAGCAGCCCTGGAGGGTCTGGGGACCCTCCACCACAGGAATTTCAGCCTTCCCGGGAATTTCAGCACCCCAGCCTGGGCAGGGAGACACCTCAGCACTCAGGGATGACAGGGATGGAGGAGAACCTGCCCCGAGAGGGTTCAGAGGCTCCTCCCCATCCCAAAATCTCGGGAAGTGGCTGGTGGGGATTGGCTTTGGGAAGTTGAGGACACCGGGGATGAATTCCTGAGCTCCCACCTCCCCCTGGAGACCCCTGGCAAGGCAAGGCCCCCTCCCACCGCAGCCACCCACGGGCTGGGACACGTCACCCGCACCCCCCTCCACATCCCCTGGGTCCATCCCCGGGGAAAATCCCACCGGATTGGGATGGAGCCAGCAGGGAGCGAGTCCCTGAGTGGAAAGAGGAGCTGCCACCCACCCCCGGTTTGGTTCTCGCTTTTTTCCGCCTCTCTCGGGTGTTCCCGTGGGTCGGATCCGCGCTGCCGTTCCCCAGGCTCCCCCCTTTCCCCCCTCTCCGTGGTCCCAACTTTGTTGTCGTGGGGACGAGAATTCCTCAAAATCTTTGGAATTCAGGCCAGGAGCAGATCCACCAGCAGCAGCGCCTTCCCAGGGGAAGAACGCAGCCCTGCCGTGCCTCAGTTTCCCCACGGTGACTCCGATCCGTGCGGCATCCCTCAGGAATGACAACACTCCCAACCCTTCCCATCCCGAATTTCTCCCTGCTTTTATTCCTTCCAGCTGAACTCCAACCTCGATTTCCTGCCCACCTCTGGGATTTTCCCCCCTTCCCCAACTCCTCTTGAGACCCCACAAGCTCCGGGGCCCTTTCCCGTCAACCCTCGTTAGGCAGCGCGCGGCAAACGAAGGCCGCTGAATTAATTAATCACTGAATTAATTAATCACGGAACCAGCCGCTGAATTCATCACCCGGCCATGCCGCGGAGCAGCTGCTCGGCATCAGCCCAAAGGGCTCCCGGCTGCTGCTCCCTCTCTTTTCCGGGAGCACCGAGGGATGAGGAGCCTTCTCTGGGCACAAGAACTTTTTGTTTTTTCCCTTTTTTTTTCGCTGCGTGACCCTTTTTAAAGCATCACAGCAGAAAAGCAGCTCCCCGGGGATATTTTTCCTGACTTTGTGCCCTTCCCCGAGCCTCTCTCTCTCCGTTTCCCAGGCCAACAGAGCCGGCCCTGGGCTGCACCTTTCCCTGGAGCCCAGCCCATCCCAAACATTCGGCTCCTCCGGAAGCCTCCTGCCAGCTCTGCCCGCTCAAAGTCACCTTGTCCCAGCCCGGCCTCTCCCGGCAAATCATTAATCGGCTCCTCGGCATTCCCGCATGGAAAAATGCCCCAGCGGGTGCCCTCGGCCTGGCACTCGGACATGCCCCTGCCCGGGAAGCTGCTCCTGTCGGCGGCCGCGCTGCTGCTCCTGTCCCTGGCCTTCAGGTTTTACAGGAACCGCTCGCCTCCCCCGGGAAAAATCCCGCCGGGAGAGCAGCGGGAAAACCGGGATGGGGATGGGGCTCTGAGGAGGAGGAGGAGGGATGGGGGGGACAAATCTGGGAATGGGCCCGGGATGCGGCACGCGGCTCTCCGGGGGGAGCAGAGCTTTCCAAGGAGTGAGGAGGAGGAGGAGGAAGGAGAGGAGGTGGGTTTGGAGCTGGGGCTGATTCCCAGGGAAGCCCCGCTGGGTCCGGAAAGGATGGAAAGGGAGTTGGGAAGGAAATTGGGAAGGAAGTTGGGAATTAAATCAGAAAGCGAAGCAGGGGTTGAGCTGGGGAGGGATCCCGGGAGCAGGACGGGAGAGCTGGGAAGTGAGCTGGGAAAAGAGCCGGGAAGTCAGCCTAGAAGCAAATTGGGAATCAAGCCGGGAAATAATCCAGGAAGTGAGCCAAGAAGTAAATTGATAACGAAGCCAGGAAATGAGTTGGGAAGTGCGCAGGCAAAAGAGCTGGGAAATAAATTGGGAATTAAGTCAGGAATCGAGCTGGGAAATGAGCAGGGAAGAGAACCAGAAAGGAAACTGGGAAACAACGCAGGAACTGAAGTGGGAAGCGAGCCGGGAATTTTGCTGGGAAGTGATCTTGGAAGCAAGGCAGGAGTCGAGGCGGGAAGCGAGCCGGGAATTTTGCTGGGAAGCGAGCCGGGCTCTCACGCCCCCGGGGCCGGGGCCGCAGCCCGGAGCAGCCCCGCGGGGACGGACGCAGCTGCACCGAGCTCCGGGCGCTCCCCAGGGACTGGCGATGCCCGGACAGAGGGGGACGGATGTGCCCAGAGCACGGAGCAGGGCCCGGCTGGAGCCGGGAGGAGCAGGGAGGGCAGCCCGGGGACAGTCCGGACCCTCAGCGTCACCTCCAGCCTGGGGCTGCTGCTGACGGCCAGCGAGGCCGGCTCGGACACCTCCTACTGCTTCTCTTCGGTGGCCAAGATCCAGGTGGAGGAGAGCTTCATCCCGAAGCGCCGGGACAAGGACAAGGACAAGGACAGCCCGCCTAGGCCTGGCCTGCGGGGCAAAGTCTACGACTACTTCGTGCAGTCCACCTCCGAGGCGGTGTCCAGAAGGACGTCCCTGCCCTTCGTCCCTGCGAGGACATCCTGCTCCAGAACCCAGGGGGAGAACCCGGCTCTGGAAATTCCTGATCCCGACACCTCCTCAGTGCCGCAGGAGGGCAGGGAGAACCCTCCAGAGCCACCTTCTCCCGGCTGGAAAGGGATCACCCCCCAGCTCCCGCTGCCCGGCGAAGTTCCATCACCATCCCAGGTGTTGCAGCCCAGCCAGGTACACCTGGGGAACTGCTCTGAGGTCCTGCACGTGGCCAAAGCGCGGCAGCTGCGGGCGCTGCGGGACGCGGCGCTGCAGGTGATGAGCACCCACCTCCTGCAGGTGCTGCGCTCCCCGGCCATCTACAACCACCTCAACGCCGGCGAGCGGGAGCTGCTCCCGGCGCTCCGCAGCCGCGGGCGGCCGCGCCTGGTGGTGGCCGATGTCCCCCCGGCCCAGCCTGGCCACCGCCGCGGCCGCCTCTGCTACTACGACGAGGAGGCGGATTGCTGGTGCCAGCTGTGCCAGCTGCCGGCCGAGGTGTCCGGGCGGGGCTGTGCCGTGTGCTCCATGTTCAATTACCTGTTTGTGGCGCCCGGCTGGGAGGGCGCGGGCCGGGCGCGGAGCCCCTCTCGCCGCGTGCTGTGCTACGACCCCCTGGGTGACAGCTGGAGTGACATCTGTCCCCTGCGCCAGGCGCGGCCGCACTGCCAGCTGCTGGCCCTGGACGGTCACCTCTACGCCATCGGGGGTGAATGCTTGGCCACCGTGGAGCGCTACGACCCCAGGCGCGACCTCTGGGCCTTCGCTGCCGCCCTGCCCAGGGACACCTTCGCTGTGGCCCACGCGGCCGCCGCGTGCCACGGGGACATCTTTGTCACCGGGGGCACGCTGCGCTCGCTGCTGCTGCGCTACGACGCCCGTGGGGACAGCTGGGCCACCAGCCCGGCCGTCGGTGACCAGGAGGGGACGGCCGCGCTGGTGAGCGCCCACGGGTTCCTGTACCGCTTCCAGCTGCGGCGCGGCGTGGGGGGCAGCGAGGTGGCCGTGTCGCGGTGCAGCGGCAGCGCCCGGCTGTGGTACGGCTGTGGCAGCCACCCCCTGCCCGAGCCGGCCGGGCTGTGCTGTGCCGCGCTGGGTGGTCTCATCCACTGCCTCGGTCGTGGTTTCCACCTCCGCTTCCTGGCCGACCCCGGCGCGCCGCGCTTCGGGGCCAAGGAGCTGCGGCCCTTCCCGGAGCCCCACGGGAGCCTCCTGCCCGCGGTCCTGGTGCTGCCCGAGGGGGGCACGGAGCCGCCGCGGCCCTGAGGGTCCTCAAGGAGTGGTGGCAGCCGGAGAAGGAGCCCTCAGCACGAGTTGTGCAATCCCAGCCTTCCTTCCATGGACCCGACTGCTTCCCGCTGCCCGGGATGCAGGAAGGGATCAAACCCTTGGATCTGGCATTTTCCCACTTTCTGGGATGCAGGAAGGGATCAAACCTGTGGATCCAGCCCCTTCCCACCCCCAGGATCAGGAAGGGATCAAACCCTTGGATCTGGCCTTTTCCCACTCCCTGGGCTGGGGGAAGGGATCAAACCTGTGGATCTGGCCTTTTCCCACTTTCTGGGATGCAGGAAGGGATCAAACCTGTGGATCTGGCCTTTTCCCACTTTCTGGGATGCAGGAAGGGATCAAACCTGTGGATCCGGCCTCTTCCCACTCCCTGGGCTGGGGGAAGGGATCAAACCCTTGGATTCGACCCCTTCCCACCCTCAGGATCAGGAAGGGATCAAACCCTCGGATCCGGCCTTTTCCCACCTCCTGGGATGCAGGAAGGGATCCAAGCCTTGGATCCAGCCCTTTCCCACCCTCAGGATCAGGAAGGGATCCAACCCTTGGATCTGGCCTTTTCACACTTTCTGGGATGCAGGAAGGGATCCAAGCCTTGGATGGCCTTTTCTCACTTCCTGGGATGCAGGAAAGGATCAAACCCTTGGATTCGACCTCTTTCCACCCCCAGGATCAGGAAGGGATCAAACCCTTGGATTTGGCCTTTTCACACTTCCTGGGATGCAGGAAGGGATCAAACCCTTGGATCTGGCCTTTTCCCACTTTCTGGGATGCAGGAAAGGATCAAACCCTTGGATCCAGCCCCTTCCCACTCCCTGGGATGCAGGAAGGGATCAAACCCTTGGATCTGGCCTTTTCCCACTTTCTGGGATGCAGGAAGGGATCAAACCCTTGGATCCGGCCTTTTTCCCACTTTCTGGGATGCAGGAAAGGATCAAACCCTTGGATTCGACCCCTTCCCACCCCAGGATCAGGAAGGGATCCAACCCTTGAATCCGGCCTCTTCCCACTCCCTGGGCTGGGGGAAGGGATCAAACCCTTGGATCCGGCCTTTTCCCACTTTCTGGGCTGGGGGAAGGGATCAAACCCTTGGATCCGGCCTTTTCCCACTTTCTGGGCTGGGGGAAGGGATAAAAGCCTTGGATCTGGCCTCTTCCCACTTTCTGGGATGCAGGAAGGGATCAAACCTGTGGATCCGGCCTCTTCCCACTCCCTGGGCTGAGGGAAGGGATCAAACCCTTGGATCTGGCCTTTTCCCACTTTCTGAGATGCAGGAAGGGATCAAACCCTTGGATTTGACCCCTTCCCACCCCCAGGATCAGGAAGGGATCAAACCCTTGGATCCAGCCTTTTTCCCACTTTCTGGGATGCAGGAAGGGATCAAACTCTTGGATCTGGCCTCTTCCCACCCCCAGGATCAGAAAGGGATCAAAGCCTTGGATCCGGCCTTTTTCCCACTTTCTGGGATGCGGGAAGGGATCAAACCTGTGGATCCGGCCCCTTCCCACCCCCAGGATCAGGAAAGGATCAAACCCTTGGATTCGACCCCTTCCCCCACCCAGAATCAGGAAGGGATCAAACCCTCGGATCCGGCCTTTTTCCCACTTTCTGGGATGCAGGAAAGGATCAAATCCTTGGATCCAGCCCTTTCCCACCCCCAGGATCAGGAAAGGATCAAACCCTTGGATCCAGCCCCTTCCCACCCCCAGGATCAGGAAGGGTTCAAACCCTTGAGTCTGGCCTCTTCCCACTCCCTTGGCTGGGGGAAGGGATCAAACCCTTGGATCCAGACTTTTCACACTTTCTGGGATGCAGAAAGGGATCAAACTCTTGGATCTGGCCTCTTCCCACCCCGAAGATCAGAAAGGTATCAAACCCTCGGATCCAGCCTTTTTCCCACTTTCTGGGATGCAGGAAGGGATCCAAGCCTTGGATCTGGCCTTTTCCCACTTTCTGGGATGCAGGAAGGGATCAAAGCCTTGGATCTGGCCTTTTCCCACTTTCTGGGATGCAGGAAGGGATCCAAGCCTTGGATCTGGCCTTTTCCCACTCCCTGGGCTGGGGGAAGGGATCAAACCCTCGGATCCAGCCTTTTTCCCACTTTCTGGGATGCAGGAAGGGATCAAACCCTTAGATTCCACCCCTTCCCACCCTCAGGATCAGGAAGGGATCAAACCCTTGAATCTGGCCTCTTTCCACTGCCTTGGCTGGGGGAAGGGATCAAACCCTTGGATCAGGCCTTTTCCCACTTTCTGGGATGCAGGAAGGGATCAAAGCCTTGGATCTGGCCTCTTCCCACACCCTTGGCTGGGGGAAGGGATCCAACCCTTGAGTCTGGCCTCTTCCCACTCCCTTGGCTGGGGGAGGGATCAAACCCTTGGATCCGGCCTTTTCACACTTCCTGGGATGCAGGAAGGGATCAAACCCTTGGATCTGGCCTCTTCCCACCCCGAGGATCAGAAAGGGATCAAACCCTCGGATCCAGCCTTTTTCCCACTTTCTGGGATGCAGGAAAGGATCAAACCTGTGGATCCGGCCTCTTCCCACTCCCTGGGCTGAGGGAAGGGATCAAACCCTCGGATCCGGCCTTTTTCCCACTTTCTGGGATGCAGGAAAGGATCAAACCCTTGGATTCGACCCCTTCCCCCCCCCAGGATCAGGAAGGGATCCAACCCTTGGATTTGACCCCTTCCCACCCCCAGGATCAGGAAAGGATCAAACCCTTGGATTGGACCCCTTCCCACCCCCAGGATCAGGAAGGGATCCAACCCTCGGGCGGTGCCGGGATCGCAGCCCGGAGGCTCCGGGAGGAGCTGGGCGGACTCGTTTGCTCGGGGGAGTTTAAACAGGGCCGTGTTTGCTCGGGCGGCAGCAAACCCGGATCTCGGCGGGCTCCAGCTGTCCGGGAGCCTTTTGGGACTGATTTAATCCTGATTTAGGCTCCAGGTGGGGAACATTGACCCGGACACGGATGGGGAGTGGTTTAGTGTGGAGGTCGCCAAACTCCAGCAGCATCGCTCGGACACTTCACCCGTTTCAGGGACAGAGTTTGGGACTGGCCTCGTTATCTCTTATCTCTTATCTCATTTCTCCCCTGCTCCTCCTCCTCCGAGCGCACTTATCTGTGTTCAAGCTCTGTGTAAAGCGGCGCCGGGGGTTTAGGCACAGCTGGGCCTAAATTAAAGCCAACGTTCGGTGAAATGAACGCCGTGCCTCATTTTAAGCCGAGCCTAATTGGAAGCAAGAGCGCGCTGCATGTTCGACATCGCAGATTAGGCACGGCCGGCGGCTCCGGGGAGGCGAGCCCAGAGCAGCGCTCCCTCATCCCCTTTTCCCAGTTTTTTCCCATCTCAGACACTCCCTCATCCCCTTTTCCCAGGTTTTTCTGGGAGTGGACACTCCCTCATCCCCTTTTCCCAGTTTTTTCCCAGCTCAGACACTCCCTCATGCCCTTTTCCCATTTTTTTTTCCCAACTCTGGCACTCCTTCATCCCCTTTTCCCAGTTTTTATGGGAGTGGACATTCCTTCATCCCCATTTCCCAGTTTTTCCCAGCTCAGACACTCCCTCATCCCCTTTTCCCAACTTTTCCGGGAGCAGCACTCCTTCATCCCCTTTTCCCAGTTTTTTTGGGAGTGGACATTCCCTCACCCCCTCTTCCCAGTTTTTTCCCAGCTCAGACACTCCCTCATCCCCTTTTCCCATTTTTTTTTTCCCAGCTCAGGCACTCCTTCATCCCCTTTCCCCAGTTTTTCTGGGAGTGGACATTCTCTTGTCCCCTTTTCCCAGTTTTTCCCAGCTCAGACACTCCCTCATCCCCTTTTCCCAGATTTTCCGGGAGCAGCCCTCCTTCATCCCCTTTTCCCCAGGTTTTTCTGGGAGTGGACACTCCCTCATCCCCTTTTCCCAGTTTTTTTTGGGAGTGGACACTCCCTCATCCCCTTTTCCCAGGTTTTTTTGGGAGTGGACATTCCCTCATCCCCATTTCCTGGTTTTTCCCATCTCAGACATTCCCACATCCCCTTTTCCCAGCTTTTCCAGGAAGTCGCTGCTTATCCCACAATTCCAGAGGGGTTTGGGGAAAGGAGCTCCAATCCCGCTCAGTTCCACCTCCCGCCACCCCAGGCTGCTGCAGCCTGGCCTTGGGCACTTCCAGGGATGGGGATTCCAGGTTTTTCTGGGAATTTTGGTGCTGCTCGGGGCGGTTTAGGAGAGCCTGGGTTAACATTCTCTCCCAAAACGCTCCCGGGAGGATTCCTGGCACTGCCTGGAGCCTCTGGACAGGGAGCAGGGAACCTTGGGAGGGCGTTAATTAATGAACCTGGGGCCGCGGTGATTAATTAACCCAGGGCTGAGTTAATTAACGAACTTCCCCAGGCTGCCTCTGCTGGCGGGTGGGGGGGCGGGTAAGGGACCCCTTCCCTGTCATGGGAAAAGCAGGAATATTCTGGAGCACGAGGATTTTTTGGGATTCAGGGAATTTCCCGGCTGAAACATCCCAAAAAAGAAGGTCTGGGATGTGCGAGGCGGCAATTCCAGCCCGGCAGGAGCAGCGGGATGATCCCTCTGGAATGGCCCCGGGGGGGTGAGGGAAGGACTGCGATGAGGGAAAGGGAAAATAAAGGGAAAAGGACAACTCCAAACCCTCGCTCAGACCTGGAGGTTTCGCTCCCTGTTCCCAAATCCCTAAAGTTTGGTCCTTTCCCCACTCCCAAATCCTGAAGGTTTGGTTCATTCTCTCCAAAATCCCAAAGGTTCGGTCCTTTCTCCACTCCCAAAGGTTTGGTTCATTCTGTGTTCCCAAATCCCAAATATCTGGTTCATTCCTTGCTCCTGAATCCCAAAGTTTTGGTCCTTTCCCCGCTCCCAAATCCCAAAGGTTTGGATGGTTCTCAGCACCCAAATCCCGAAGGTTTGGTCCTTTTCCCACTCCCAAATCCCAAAGGTTTGGTTCATTCTGTGCTCCTGAATCCCAAAGGTTTGGTTCGTTCCCTGCTCTTGAATCCCCAAATCCCAAAGTTTTGGTCCTTTCCCCGCTCCCAAATCCCAAAGTTTTGGATGGTTCTCCGCTCCCAAAT